GGGCCCCGGGGCCAGCCGCTCGCCCGGCCGGTGACACACGGCCTCGCAGAACCGCGCCCTCAGAGGCGCCGCCGCCGCCCCGCCCCGTGCCCGCCCTTCCGAGGAGCGGCGAGGGCTCAGCCGGCCGCCCCGGCCCGGGAGCGGCACAGCGCGGAGGAGCGCGGCCGCGTAGCGGAGGAATACCGCCGGTCGTGTCCCGACGCCCCACGCACGGACGGCTGAAGAGAAAGGGCGGTTGCCACCCCCGCCCCACACCACCCCGGCAGCACCTACCGGGCCGGGCGCTGCCCGAGGGCCCCTGCCGGGCCGGCACTTGCTGGGCATCATGGAAACCCGCTTCCCTCAGCGCCTCACCGCACCTCACACCTCCGCGCCGGCCGCCGCCTCTGTCGGAAATCTCTCCGCCGTTACCGGGGCGACCGCCGCTTCCGGCCCGCTGCCGGCAAGCCGCGCCCTTGCTCCGCCTGCTGGCTGAGGCGGCGCTGAGTGGCGGGAAGCCGTGAGGTGTCGTCGCGCCGGGCGGCCGTTCCGCTCTCCCCCGCTGCCTGCTTCGGAAGCGACGGTGCCCGGCGAAGCGGCCTCAGGTAGGGGGCCGAGGGGTAGGGGTCGGGGAGGCGCGGGAGGGGGCCTCGCAAGTGCGCGGCGGTCCGCCCGTCTGCCCCCTCTTCCCCCCCAGTAGTAAAAAGACGCTAGTACGGTTCTATTTTTCTGAATTCTAAATGCTAATTCTGAAGCGACTGTGTATGAAAACCCGTGAAAAGGCAAGAAGCTGGACGTACCTTCCAGGTTCCCGTTCTGCCTCAAGAAGTTGCCTTGTTAGGCACATACTTGTCACAACATGTGAAAATCTGACTGGGAGAGCTTGGGTGCCGCCGTGGTGTGCTGGGAGTCCCGTCTGTTGATCGGTACCTCGGTCTGGCGTCACCTCTTGCGGCTGGCGGGTCAGTACCTGCTAACCCCAGAAGCCCTACAGACGGGCAGCGGATGATTTTAAACACGGACATCGAGGACTCCCTCAGCGGCTAGAAAAGCAACGGCGTGGCTGGCTGTGTGCGGAGGGGCTGTGAATTGCCTCGTGGTGTCTTCCCCATCCACATCCCGGGTTTAGCTTTCTGTATTGTTGGTTTAGTTACCGTTTGCTGAAAGGCTGATAGAAGTGTAACGGAATTATGACTGACTTTGTGAGAAATACAAAATATGGGTGTGGGTTTTTTATGATAGGTAGACAATACTGTGCCAACAAGGAATGTGCCATGATAAATCTGTCAAAGGTTTTGCACAGTTGAAGTTCACGGGATCGTAATCCTAACTGGGTATCAGAAGATCAGCTGAGGTATGGGTTTCCCTCTAAGGGACTTGTCTACATTATTCGTTTAGTTTTAAGTTCTCCCACAGTTACAAATACTGCTTGATTTCTGCTGGTAGTTAAGCTTATAGAACATTGCTATATTAAAGAAAAAAAAATTAGCCTGGTAATTTTGATGGAAATCTAATCAACAGGGTGTTTGAAACAACATCAATCTTCATCTACACTAGTTCTCTCAACATTATCAATATCTTTGTAGCAGACTACAAGGATGATGACAGTAGGACTCCTCAAAGAAATGAGCTAAACATTGACAAGGCCAAAGGCCAATTCTGTGCGGCGGCCACTGGTAAAGCAAAAAAACAGATCTAGTGCCCTTCCCTATAAAATCAAGTTCTCTTAACCTCGACAGAAGGACTCATCAGATAAACTGAAATGTCTCAAACATCATTTAGGTTAGCTGTAGCACAAAATAGTTCTTTGCTCATAGTGGTCCTAACCTTGTTCCTACCCAGGGATTCCCACGCACTCAAATACAAAATCAGACCCACAATCCCTGTACGTACTCTCTCCTAGGATGTGTATTTTGTGTTTGTATTTCTGCTCCCGCTGAAATCAATAGCAAAGTGATGACATACCCAAGGCCTATTACAAAATGCTGTCCATTAGCAGAGAACTAGAGATTTGGTTAGTGATGCATGTAAGCATACTTCATAAACAAAATATTTCGTTGCTTAAGGCGTGTTAAAAAATGAGCCAAACCCACTGAGGCAGAGTGGTAGTCCCATTATGTGTTCAAGCCAGCAAATCTGACTCATGAGGACTGTTTGTCACAGTGGTGAGAAGAACCGGCCCCTGAGCGCAGTCTCACTTTTTGTCCATCCAGATTTTTAAGAAGAAAACATTGAGGCAGTAGAGTGGAGTACAGTTCAGATGAATTGTACAGGCAAAACCAAGGATGCCACAAACGAAGCGGTGACTTCAAGATCCAACCTGCATCTAGCAGTTTGGGTTCAGCTGGTGTTGAAAGAAAGATCTTCCCTGACTGAAGAATGAGTATTTACATGGTGAATTGAAATGCTTTAAATTCTAATCCTGAAAACATGAATGTTTATTTCATGTTAATTGCTGAAACAGTCCACTGAAGTACAGTGCAATAGTCTTAAGTTCAAAATAAATCAACGCGTAAGTGTTTCAGAAAAGGGGCCTCTATTTTAGTAAGTTCTTATGGGGGCGTGTTTTGATTCTGTTTAAGTACCATGCAGAATTATAGAGGAGTGCTCTACAGAACTAACACGTATCCGGTCATGTCCTTGTTCACTCGGTTTTCTTATTTCAAAACCTCATCCTCGGCATTGAAAACCACACTTAGCCCAGCGTAACCTTTTTGAATTTCTTAAAACGCAACGCTCTAGTCAGGACGCAGCAGCGCAGCCCCAAGGCTGCACAAGGAGATGAGAAGCCGGGGCGTTGCTCTTCGGTGAGGAGCCAGTTGTTTTGAAAGAAAAGCAGTCCCAGTTCAGTCGTCGACGGGCAAGAAACTTTAACCAGCCTGCAGCCGGGCCCCCGCGCTGGGCGCAGCATCGCCGGAGGAGGGACGGACCCTGCGGCTGCCCCCGCCGGGGCGCGCCCGGGGGA